CATACGCAACTATATTAGATTCAAATCAGATTTCATAAAGGGTAACATTCCAAAATGTTTCGATATTGTACTATTTTCCTGAATTAGAATCTAGTAATTCTTGTATGTATTTTATTTTGATTAAATAACTATTGATTTTTTGAATTAAATTCATTAAAACGATTAAAATAAATATCATTATTTTTGTTTAAAAAAAAATTCAAGGTTTTGAAAAATTTGGGTCGTTACACAAAAAAATTTATATATTCGATTTTTATACAGGTTTTAGTTACCTTATTAATATATTTCCCCTTTCGGGTTTTCCGGCCTAAAAAATTGTGCAATGTAAATATTTGTAGATCATTATGACAAAAAAAAAAAAGCAATACTGTAAATGCAATTAGCGGATTTACAAATTTAGTGCGGATCCTATTTTTTTATGTACGTACGTACACGTACAGTATATACGTAAGCATTTACATTCTTGCCAATCAGCAACAATCGTGGGGACAAGTTCTGGTGTAACGTGAAAATTAACAAAACAATGAAAAATCGAAATTTTACCTAGAAAACACCTTTCACGCACGCACTAGCAAAAAAAATTTCTTGCAAAATTTTGGTATAACTTCACCACTAAACCTAACGCTAACCCTAACCGAAAAGTCGCATTTTAAAAAAGACGGTGACATGTAAACAATCACAAATAATTTCAACAAATAAAAAGGTTGGGAGAAATTAGTAAATGCCATGCGTAGTACAAATTATGCAATACATGCAATTACTGTAGGTTTACGATAAATATACCGAGTTTATTTTGAAGTTGTCTTTTACATATTGATGATAATCTCTGACAGATAACAATCTCTGACATAACGATAAATCATCTGATTAACATTCCCATTCTTAGTCGATTTTGATTTGAAATTATCTAACAATCATAACAAAATTTTTATATCTTACTACCTTTAATAGTATATATGGGTCGATCGAACTCATCTATTTTTCTAAAAAAGTTGTTCTGATTGGTTTCAATTTTTTTTGTACATATGTCCAAAAAAAATTGAAACCAATTGGACATTGTGACATGCCATCCCTGTTCTTTCCGAAAAAAAAATTCGGCAACCCTTGTATTTCTAAGTAATAGACAATACTCATATGGGCGAAAATCTCCAATTTCGTGATGATTTAGTGTGAGTGATTAGGTTAAATAAAATTTGAGCCAATCATTCATAATTATGATATCACCTAATTTTTAATAATCACTGTGTTTCAACTGGAGATTTCGCCCATATGTCGGCTATTTAGATTAATTTGGATTGGTAGAATTCGCTGGCAATTTGCCTCTGGCAAACATCAACAATAGATCAATCCAAGCCTAACCTAAATTGGATACTGTGACGTGCCATCCCTGGGAAAGAATGTAGGGCTATCGCTATCTTCTCATTATAATATTATAAAGCATTTATAACTATGTATACACCACAACACAACCCATATTACTGCGCACACATAACTCCCAGCACTATTTGTCCGTTGATCTTAGTCTTCGAGAGGTAGACTAAGGTTGACATTTTCGTAGGTCAACATCATTTGTTATTTTTTTTTTAATTATATTTGTAATATATTGCTATTTTATTCCAGTATACTGTATTTTTGGTGAGGATTTTTTTTGTCCACAACGAAGTAAAATCCGAAGCAAGTTCCTCGTTTACATTTTGTATTTACCGTATCAGCTATTGAATGCAATAAAAAAAATTAATAATAATGTTATAAATTTTGTTTATAAGTTAAACAGAAGTTTATTTTTATTATCTCTACGTCACTATTAGATTTTCTGAATCCCATATATATATACATCATAAAAATTGCCGTTGTCTTTTTGCAAATAGCTGTAAATCAAAACATATCTAGTTAAATAAATTGGAAAGCAATTGCTAAATACTAAACAAACACAAAATAGTATCTTAATAGTAATAGTGTTTTGAAACAGTCGCTGGCAAATTTTATGACAATTATACTGCAAGCAATTGAATAATAAGTTGAAATAAGAATCAAATAAAACATGACACGCGTCGTCCTCATGGTTATATGACCATGGAGGTATTAAAAATAAAATAAAATAAATAATTGTTTATCGTTCCTTTATGAGCATCATCATGTTTAATTAGACAGTAATGAGCTCTAATCCACCTTGTTCAAGAAGGTCATTTATTGGAAAAGCTTCATTCATATCTCCACGGGTTGAAATGATCATGCCACTTAGACTCGCTTCTAATAAATTTTGTAAATAAGAAAATACAGGACCACCACTATCACCCGGACAAACTATCCCATGCTTGTCTTGACCGAAATAGATAAGGTTATTTATAATTTCTTCACCATCATTAGACGTTGAAATTGTATTTAATCCTCTTACATATCCGCAAGTAACATGCGTATTCAAACCGGATTTACATAAATGAGCACCATGACTAATTACCAAATTACTACTTTTAATATTTGATTCGGGATAATCTGTCGAATCTGTTCTTATAGGCGTTGATTGTCTGGCATTTTCGCCTGTTCTACTGATCAAACCAAAATCGTAATCGGCTTCTTCATCAGAATCTACCATTACACCAAGATAAGTTTTATCATCCTCAGAATCCCACGGAAAATGAGCAAATGACTGTAATACGCCTTCAGATCGCAAATTTTCATTAGCACAATGTCCAGCAGTTACAATAAAATTCTGATTTTCATTTCCTTTTTTTCTTGCCCCAAAACCCACCGAACATTCAATTTCAGTAGAATTAAGATTTATTAAACCATCTCCAGCTAAAATCCTAGGAACTATCTGTCGTTTTAAAATCCGAGCTTTTGATGGTTCAGTTTCACTACCATCACAATTAGGATGTGGAATATAATCACTTATTTCAATAACTTTTGGACTATATCGACTCTCAGCTTCTTCTAAAAAGTCCTCATTTGTATCATCATCAGCCGCATAACAACGTATTACTATAGTATTAAGCTTCATATCAATATAAAATTGAATACGAATTGGTTCATAGTGTTTAATTAGCCTGTTTATTCTTCTAAATCGTTGTCTTAAATTAGCCAAAGAATTGTTTTTTGGTGCTGGTATAAACTTAATAAAATTTATATCAGTTTGGTTTATCGAATTTTTTATAATAGGGACTACAGCAGGGTCCACAGTATTGACATATACAGTATTCTCTTTTATGTCTATATGTGTTCCTCCAAAACTTGACAAATGATTTTCTAGCAATCGCTGTAAGTTTTCATCCACTTTGATCAAATTTTCCTCAATAGCCAAATAAGTGGGCAAATCATTATCTTCTACATCCCATAATTCTGCCAATGCTTCTTTGGCATGAACCGGCGAATGTTTGTTTAATATCGAAACTAATAATAATAAATTTAACAAAATGTAAATATTTTTCATTACTAATAAAATTAGCTATGTAGAAATTAGACTTTTGTCTTTTAAATTTATAATTTAACAGACCCAGCTTATCTAGTCCTAAATTATAATTCTTTATTAAAATCAACATAACTCACATTATTCCACGTTTCTAAATGATTGCATGAGGGGATTTAGCAACATATGGTTAGTGACGTGTAAATTATGAGATTTCAAATTTCATACTACAATTCTATAATCCGCTATAGTGTAATAGTAGTTTTACTAGCAAGGTTATATATAATCCGATATGATAAATTTATAATATTTCGAGTTAGAAATATAAATACATATAGTTGAGAATTATGTATAGTTTGATCAAATTATGGATATAGTCGGGACCTCTCAATGCAGGTCCAATAAAAAACCTCTCTAAATATATGTTTTCACAACTAATATGAGGCTACACAAAGTCATTTTTCGTTTTGCATTACATGGCATTCGAAATTTCGATCGAGCGGTCGGATTTTTTGTTGCCAAAGTCTTTAATTTCTTAGGTTTTCTTGAAAAAGCATTTTGCTTGTTCAGATGATTTCAAATTCTTTAATTAACTTTCGAATTAGTTAAATCTTAAAGCATTACAAAACTATGTTGAGTTTAAACCTATCGGTAATTTACCAGGTACAAGAATGACTTGTAACTGTAATAGCTATGTACTAAACGTTATCATTTTAATAATTGGAAAATTAGTTTCCGAAATAATACAAATTTTAATTGATAAAATCGGCAAAAAATGGAAATACCAATAGAATGATTTATCTTTATGTCAGAGATTGCTATCAATATGAAACTAGAAAAGACATTCCTAGAATAGCCCAGGATTTACATATTTATCGTAAACCTAATGCATGTAATTTAAGAAAATTATTTGTGCATGGTATTATGAATTGATAATCACTGATCGTCAAAGAACATGACAAAGGTAAAAGAACTACAACGAAATAATAATGAACTCAGCCCTTCATCCCTG